CGCCGACAGCCAGTGCCTGGCTAGCAGCGCCGCCCAGATCCAGACCCCGATGACCGACGCCAGGTGGTCCAGGTGCACCCAGTCCCGGCTCGTGAGCAGCAGCAGCGCCTCATACATGAGCGCCGCCTTGCGCTTCGGGACCCGCACTCGTGCGGGGCTGGACTCCACCTCGTAGCCCACGATGCGATCCACCATGCCGTGCTCCCTCCGGTCCTTCACAACAAAGCCCACGTCCTCCAGCGCGTCCGCCACCTGGTGGACCAGCTTGTTGACCTTCTTCTCGCCTGACCGCCGGGACCCGCCGTCCGCTGCGATCAGGCCGTCGTCGATGTGGAGGTAGAAGCTCGTGTCCCTCGCGCCCAGCACTGCCCCGCGGCCTCGCGAGGACGTCTCGTTCAGGAAATGGAAGGCGCCGAGGTCCAACGGCCCCGAGTAGCACGTTATCCTTTGACACTTCACTCCGTCTCGTACGTGTCCTGTTGGCCCGCCGCCGGTCTGCGCCATCTCCGACAGCGTGGCCACTATGCCCTCTGCTATCCACCTGCACAGTCGAGGTGGGTAGGTGGCCAGCTTGGTCGTCCGAAAGTTACCGTTAACCTTACCGTAGCTCAGCTCGTGTGTGTGGGCGCCGTCGCATCTTAGTGCTTCGGTGGCCGCCAGTCGTACCGTACCTGTGACCCTCGTGGGCTTCTGCGAGGGCCCGCCCATCATGCATTGGTCAAAGATGATGTGCCGCGCTCCCGTCCTGGACTCCAATCCTTTCAAGATCTCGGTGTCGAAGATGGACGGGTACGGGTCCTCCCCGGGATCGCCTGGATGCTCGAGGGCCCAGGCTCCCCCGCGGTCCCCCACCCCGCCGCACAGCGCCAGGTGGTTGACCATCAGGCGGTTGCCCTCGTCCAGCCGCTCCACCTCAGAAGGCCGCAGTCTCTCGCGGGGTAGCCCCCATGCGTACTTCCCTCGACGGCGCAGGGGTCGTGGTCCTCCAGGCCTGAACCTCGCTCGGCTCCAGGTCGAGCAGGGGGGGCCGCCCAGGATCACGTCCACCAGGCCCTCGGACACCAGGGGCCAGAGCAACTCGAAGGTGTCGACGCGCCCGAGGTCCCACCGCGAGTCCTCGGCCAGGTCCACCGAGATCATGAGCACCTTCAGTTCCAGGTCGGTCATCATCGCCTCGACGTAGTGCTGCACGTCCTGCTCCCTCCGGGCCCCCGCGAACAGGTGCATGACCACGAAGACGCGGGTCTCCTGACGCCGTGCGCGGCGTACTGCCTCGCACCAGCTCGCCACGGAAAACCCGCTCGGGGGGGGGGCCATCTCGTCGAAGTCGTTGGCGCTCGGCCCAGTCGTCATCCTGCAGCATCTGGTATCCGGCCTGCCACGCCAGAGTGTGATCCTGCTGTGGGTCTACCAAGCTGCGCCTCAGCGTCATGGAGCATATCCTCGAATTGATGGACATCAGGATGTGTACGCTGTGGGAGCTGCCCATGACTAAACGGCGCCACATCGGATAGACCCAGCTCTCAGGATTCAAAGAGTCTCGCTGGCTGGGCGGCAGACGCCACCAGACGGCGGCCGCCCTCACGGGCGGCACGCACTGCCAGCCCCACATCCAGCTCGGAACCTCCACGAAAGAGAAGGCGTTGCTCTCGTCGAACGCCGCGGCCGCCCAGTCGTCCGACGGGACGTGCAGGCTGGCCAAGGCACCTCCTCCGTGTAGTCCGTGTTCGGCTCGACCTCTCACGTCCTGAAACATATAGTTAGCCGCCACCATCATGATGATCTTACGTTGACGCCCACTGGTCTTTTTGCCCACCGTGCTGAAGCCCGCGATGGCCTTCACCTCCTGCGGGCCGCCGAAGTGCCACAGGTTGGGCGGCATGTCCTGGCGGCTGAAATACTTCTCGTACTCCTCCTGAGTACCTCCAACGAAACCGAACTTGGCCTGTAGCTCCTCGAAGATCACCCGGCTGCGCAGCTCCGTCGGGGCCACCACGAGACTCTCGTCGCTGTAGTACCTGGCCTCCTCCGGCTCGAGCACCTCGAGCATGTTCACACTCTTCACTACTTGCGGCTCATCAATGTCCTCCGCTCTCAGGGCCTCATGGGTCGACAGGCGGGTAGGCCGACCATAGCCCACCTCCTCCACACGAGCTAGCTCCAGCACCGCGGGGGCGCCTGTCAGACCGCAGTCCCGGCGCGCCTCTGCCAGCCGTTTAGCTTCTCGTAGAGCCACCCTATGCACCTGGCCGTGCAGCCCCCGCATGTTCATCGACAAGCTCTCCTTACGGCGGGGGCGGGTGAGGTCCGTGCACGAGCCCGTGTCCATGGAGTTGATCCCTTGCACGAACTCGTTGGCGAGAGCCCACAGGGCGAGCTTCCGCTTGAATCGATGTCGAAGTCGACTAGATCGGCTCGTCATCGGGGTAGGGCGATCCACCAGCGTGATGGGGAAGAACGCCTCTTGTCCCGGCTGGGCCGAGATCACCTGCTGCAGCGAGGGGTGCAGATCGTCACGCACTCTGGGCACCCACTGCGCTGGCGGGCTCCGCGCCCCGACGGCAGGCTCGTCGGGGCGCGCCGCGAGCCCCTATTCATGCTTGGAGTCGGCGGACTTGCCGCCCCGGCCTCCCCCTCGACCACCTCCGCGACCGTCGCCTCGACCTCCGCCCTTGTCGTTCTTTCGCCTGTGGCGCGCCTCAGCCTCGACTCTCTCCCTGCGCTGGTGCTCGATCTTCGAGTGCATCGTCGCCGAGGCCACCATCCACGTCGGGGCCACATCGGCTGAGCCGCCAGGCGGTGCGATGCCCAACATGTGCTGGGCGCCGACGCGGTCCCCACTCCGCTGCTCGTACACGTACGCCGCGAGGCGGCGGAGGCCTATCTCCATCATGTCGTCCTTGGCTAGCACCTGCATGATCTCCAGGTCGCTGCCGCAGTCGCGGAGGCGGAAGTCGACCGACGTGGCCAGCGTCCAAAGGTCGACCCACACCGGACTGGTACGACTCCCCTGGTAGCGCTGGGCGATCCAGTCGCGGGCGCTCGTCGACCCCTCGCCCCGCATCGCCCTGTAGATCTCGGGGGCCGCTCGCTGGAGGTCCGCTGGCAACGAGGAGCCCCATCGCGTCTCCTCTGAGCCTCCTGCCGCCGCGGCCAAGCCCTGGCTGGGGGTGGACTGCCAGATGCCTGCGCCCGCGGTCAGTGCGGCCTCCGACGCGAGGCGGTCCAGCGCGGCCCCGAGCTCCTCATGGCGGGGGGCCGTCACCGTCTGCTCGCCCACGTAGCCGAAACCCGTCAGGAGACGCTTCACCCCGGGCACCAGCTGCCCACTCGAATCCATCGCGTAGATGTTGGACCAGAAGTGTCGACCCCACATATGGTCTTGGCCCCTGGCGTTCGCGAACACTGTCAGGAGCTCCTTCACTTGCTTGGCCTGCTGGCGGACCTTGCTGTCCAGCTCGGGCGGCCTGTACTGAGGGACGTGCGGCGAGCCCCCAGCCCCAGCTGTGGCGCCAGCACCCGTGGCGGGTGGGGCAGCCGCGCCAGCCCACGCGCCTAGCGCGTCCAGGCTCGAGGCGCCCGCGGGCGCGTGGCTGGCCTGACCCACTGGAGGACCGATGGGTCCTGCGGCCGGCCCCGCCATCGTCGCGCCCGGCACCTGCGGGATCCCCGGCGGCGGCGGCCCCACGTCGGCCCACCCGGGCATGACCTCGTCAGGCGGACCGCCGCCAGGGAAACCTCCTCCTGGCATGCCCATCGCTCCCGACAGGGCCAGCTGCTGCATCTGAGCCGTGAGGGCGGCCATCTGCGCCTTCGTCGTCTCCTGGTCGCAGTAGAGCCACCACGCTTGGCGCACGACCCTTGCTGTGGCGAGGAAGCCCACCAGCCCGAATACGGTGAGGCCCGCCAGGCGGGCCCGTCCTGTCGAGCCCAGCTGGGCAGCCAGGGCTCCTCCTCCGCCTGCCAGGGCGAGGAGTCCCCACGCCGCCGCGAGCCACCAGCTGCCTTGGTTCACGTCGGCGGCGGAGCTCTCGGGGGCCGGCGGCGGCGGTTCGCCCGCGGCGGTGGCGTCCAGTCCCGGCGGCGCACCCGCCGCGGCCGAGTCGGCCCCCAGCGTCATGGCGGGCACTTCTGGTGTCTGGTGGAACACAGCGGCACCCCTCGGGTGCCGCGGAGAGACCTGCAAGAGGGTGCCCGCGGAGGCACCTCGAAACTCTGTCAGTGAGTCATGGTGCCTTGAACTTGAAACGGTTTCGGGCGCAGGCAAGACCTGGAGACAACGTCCGAAACAACAAGACATATCCCGCCCTATGGCCCCTTCGCTAACCTATCTGAAAATCAACGTTCACAAACTCACTCACCCATATATATATATATATGTTTGTTTGTATGTATGTATGCATGTATGTATGTATGTATGTATGTATATATATATATGGGCACGGCACACCCTCTTCGGCATCCCCCCACCCACCAGCCAGCGCGCCC